TAGTTATTCATTTTAGCATGATCGGTAAGTGGTCACTTTTCTGAGGGTTTTTAATGAAATTCCACTTGAAATCGGCTAAAAGGGACGGCGACGAAATGCTATGATCTACCGAGGAGTATACGAATTGTTCGCAAGGCTAAAATCCGTAAAGCTAGACGAATAAAAAAGCTGTTCAATGGGACGTGCTCGAGAATCACAGCGAGAAGCGCCCCACAGCACATTGTGTACATTAAAATCACCTAAAATTTTAAAAAATGGTTCTGGAAGTTCACCTATTAATGATTCCAAGTCTGTTGAGCTGATGGTGTGGTGGTATAGGTAGGTAATAAACTTTATTAAGGATTCAACGAGGAGTTACTGGCCCGGGATAGGCCTTCAGGAGCTGTCGTCCGCGGAACATCGTGTAATGTCCTCGGTGATAGACCTGGTTCACTGAACAGCCCAGATTTGGTCCACTGCACGTGGACTAAGGAGGGCGGCTCGCCACCGCTCAGCCAGTCGTCCTGGGGTACACTCACGCTCGTCCGAGTATATAGTGGCGGTGAACACCACGCGCGCTCACACTCCCAAAGTATATGCGCCATGTCGGCTGTCTCGTGCCCGCACCACGGACAGCCGGGTGACGGGTGGAGCGAGGGACACAGTCTATACAGGTGTCGGGGATATACAGGGAGCATAAGATGATGAGTTTGTTAAAAAGTAAAGCTCGAACGGCCACTGCCTCAAGGGATGTCTGAAGCTTCATCTGCTGGCATGGTATACACTTGGATCAGCTATAATGGCTGCTCCGCCGGATGATACGACAGCATCTTCACGGTCATTTCGGAAAGTAATGTATTAGCGGAGAAAGTTGGTGTGTTTAGGAGTAAGGTGTGTTTCTTGCACAAACAGCACTTTCGAGTTGAACTTACTGAGAAGTTCTTGAACGTCCTCTAGATTTCTGAGTAGCCCTCTAACGTTCCACTGAATGATTTTATCGATTATTAACTAGAAAAAAAGTGTTGTGTGTAAACACGACTGAGAATGGCTATTTCTGCAGGGCCTTTGTGAGGCACTGTAATTGGTGTTCTGTCTTTTTCTTTTTTTGAGTGGTCGACAAGAGGTCGCCGCTCCTTTGGCGCAACCAGCGCAGTTCGGCTAGAATTGGTGCTCATGTAGCCTACTGCGAGGCACTGGACACTATCTGTGTGTCGCTTAGACTTTGTCTCAGTCGACGAAGTCTTTTTCCGTACCAGAGCCAGAAGTTGATGGGACCACCTTAGCCTCTTCATCGCTCTGGCTGCCAGGGCTTGTAGAGGCCACCGGTGTAGACTAGTTGGTTGTGGGCAGGGCAGCACTGGCTGCTACCACCAAAGGGGCAGGTGGCTTTGACCTGGGCACGCTAGGCGTGGTGCAGGTATCTGCCAAGGGCCGTTGTGGTGCCGCCCCTCGTTGCACCCGACTTCGGCAAGTGGCGTAGGCTGGTACGGCTCTGTCCCCTGACGTGCTAGATCAGCATAGATTGTGCCATAGAACGGTGAGCCCCTCCTCCTAGCCTCCCTAAAGGAGATGTTTTCCGTCACTTTCAATGTAATGATACCCTTTCCTTTCTTTCATCCTGGACAAGATCGGGAGTATGCTGGGTGGTCACCACTGCAGTTCGCTCAGTGGCATGGAGAATTTCAGTTTTCGGAAATGTGGTCTTTTGATGCACATTTGGCACATGTAGATTGCCCTCGGCTAGCAAGGGAGCCATACGGGTTCGGTACGTATATATGGCCGCACTCGGAGTTTAGTGTAGCTTGGTTTAATGTGTTCTGGCAGTTCAATAGATTCAAATGTGAGTATAATGAGTCTTGTTGGCTTTTCTGTGTTGTCCCGTCTGATCTTTATTCTTTGAATGCTTACAACTTTTTGCTCTTTCTATCCGTCGAGGAGCTCAGCTTCAGTTAGGTTCAGGAGGTCGTCATCAGAGAGACACACCGAACGTTATTCATAGACTTATGTGGACTGACTGTGAAAGGAATATCTCCATTTAATGTCAGATTCGGGAAGGTGTCATATTGCTTCCTGCTCGCAGCCTCAAGCTGCAGATCGCCGCTAGCCATCTACGAGGCCTTATAGCCAGGTCATAGTTTTCTGTTAGGTTTCTTGCTACCAAAAATGGATAGTTCTGGCTTTTCCATCAGACTGTTCACTATGTATTACATGATATTTTGGAAAGTGCTCTTTGGTCTTTGTAAAGAATTTGATGGCTTTTTCGGGGTGTAACCTTTTCAGGTTACGATCAGCTTTGAAAGAGGATGCACTTAACATAAAGGGTGGTTTAAGTTCGGCAGCGGTGCCAGCCGCCCACCGCCCAACTTGCGGACATGGCAGGCGATGCAGGGCAAATCCTGCCAACGTCAGCTGTACAGCGCTGCTATAACCTAATATGGAATAGCCAAGACTGGCCATCCACACAAGGTTAACCCTTGCCGCCAGGAAAGATCGGAAGTAAACTGAGAAAAGAAGTAGACAGTAAAGATAAATAAAGTGAAAGAGAGAGACAATTATCAGAAGAAATAGCGGCAGGAAAAGGCGACTGCCGATTTCCCCTGGGTGGGTCAGCCCAGGGGAGCCGTCTACGTGAAGGCGGGGCCAAAGAGGTGTGTTGCCTTCACCGGGAGGCCTTAAAAGTCCAATCACCCGCTGTCGGCTCAACCCCCAGGATCCGCTTTTCCCTGGACACGGCAATGCCACGCACGGCTAAGCGTGGGAGGGAGTCGAACCCTTCCCCCATTTAACTCGGGTCCGTGGTGTCGCCACATGCCAAACGCCTGCTTACGCAGACGTCCCTGCGAGAGGTACCAGAATCTTGGAAGAACGCAAACATCATCTTAATCCAAAAGAAAAGAGACGTCAATTAGGACTTGAAAAATTACCAGCCAATCAGCTTACTGTCCGTTCTCTTCAAACTATTTACAAGAATAATAGCTAATAGAATTAAGGCGACAGTAGAGTTCAATCAACCAAAAAACCAAGCAGGATTTTGTACAGGCTACTCCACCATAGACAATATTCATACTATCAATCAGGTAATAGAGAAATGCGCGGAATGCAACCATCCCCTATACATAGCCTTCATAGATTACGAGATGACGTTTGACTCAGTCCAGACGTCAGCAGTAATGCAGGCACTACGGAATCAAGGCATGGAAGAAACCTACATAAACATACTGGAAGAAATCTACAGTTGATCGACAGCCTCTATAGTTCTCCATAAAGAAAGCGACAGAATCCCGATAAAAAAAGGGTGTAAGGCAGGAAGACATGATCTCTGCAATGATATTCACCGCGTGTTTACAGGAGGTTTTCAGATTGGGAAGAGTTAAGAATGAGAGTTATTGGAGAGTATCTTACAATAACCTATGATTCGCTGATGACATTGCCTTGATGAATAACTCAGGCGACGAATTACAGCTCATGATTACAGAACTGGACACGGAAAGCAGAAAAGTAGGTCTGAAAATTAACAGGCACGAAACTAAAGTAATGTGTGACAGTCTCAGCAGAAAACGGCACAATGCGATAAGTGTAGAGACGCTGGAAGTTGTAAAGGAATATGCCTACTTAGGACAGGTAGTAACAGCAGAGCCGAAACATGAGAGTGAAATAACTAGAAGAATAAGAACGGAGTGGGTCAGATTCGGCAAGCATTCTCCAATCATGAATGGTAATCTGCCACTAACCCTCAATATGAAGGTATATAACAGCTGCATCTTGCCAGTACTACCCGATGGAGCAGAAACCTGGAGGCTTGCAAAGAAGGTTCAGCTTAAATTGAGGACGACGCAGCGAGCGGCGGAAAGGAAAATGAGAGATGAGAAGAGGGCAGAGTGGGTCAGGGAACTAAGTGGGGTTAAGGATATCATAGTTGGACTTGAAGAAGAAGAAATGGACATGGGCCGGGCACTTAGCAGGTAGGCAGGGTAACCGCTGACTGGATTACCATCTGCAGTGTAGGCAAACGCGCAAAGGGGAGCCAGAAAGTTAGCTGGGCCAATGAGATTACGGAAAGTACAAGACCGGGTTTATTGCGGACCATGGGAGAGGCCTTTGCCCTGCAGTGGGCGTAGTCAGGCTGATGATGATGAGCTGCGCGTGAATAATTACAGAATGAAACGAGCTGATCGGCTTTTGACTGGCGGAATGCTGTCGTTCATGTGTGTTACCCGGGATTCGGGGCGTACACTATCGTCTGACTGATGAATGTTTTGTAAGTGTTGTGGGGCCTATGTTGTGGGACTGATGACTTTAGAGATATCTGCATCACATAAAAGTCATTAGCTACATGGACGCCGAAATACGTATATATATGCGAGGCAACCGTTTCAAAAGGAACTTCATTGACCGTGTGCTGAAAAGTGTTGGACGTGTTAGACTGCCGAGAAACTGTTAGCACTTTGCATTTGTTCAGATCAAAGACCATTTGCCACTTGGAACTCCAATTGTTTATTTGATTGATATGTGGGGTTTAACGCCCCAATACCGCCATATGATTATGAGAGACGCTTTAGTGGATGGCTCCTGAAATTTTGATCACATGGGGTTCTTTAACGCGCACCCAAATCTGAGCACACGGGCCTTAAACATTTTCGCCTCCATACAAAATACAGCCGCCACAGCTTGGATTTGATCCCACGACCTTTGGGTTAGCAGTCGAGTGCTCAAACCACTAAACCACCGCGGCGGGGCTACGAAGAATTTCATCGATTAGTTAATGGCGTCAGTTAAGTCATTAATATAGTCTATTGTAACTTGTCGTCTTGAAATGCAGCCGCGGTGGGTGGGTTTCCAATTCTTGTGGCATCGTACTCTGCAGGAGAAAGCAACGGTCGAATTTTAGTATGTTCGAACAGAGAGCGAACTATATATAGGTGATTGCAGCCTTCTTTCACGGACTTCGACACTACTGGTGTGAACGCCTGGTAACACGCGCGGAGGCTACGTGCACAGAGTGGGGCCTATCGCTGGCCCACATGTGCAGCCCAGTGACCGAGCGCAATGGCCCAGTGGCCCTGCAAGGCCGGTCCGCGGGACGGCGGCGGCCGCCATGGCTGGCTGCTGGATTTCCCCCCTCTGCGAACAGTGGGAGCAGCCGAGCAGCGGCGGCGCTATCGGCGGTGGTGGCGGCAGCAGGCGAGCGCTTGTTTTGTCGCGGGGCGCCGAGCGCGAGTGGCCGAAAGGCAGAGGCGGCGCACTGGGCGGCCGTCGGCTCCTCGTTCGCTGGTTCAGCGATGCCCGTGGCCAGCGCTCAGCACAAGGAGAGTGCGGCTAGCACCGTGTCTCGCTACTTGCTGCCCAAGCCGCCCCGGCACAGCCCACCGCTGCTGCCGTCGCCGGGGCCGCACCACGGATTCTCGCCCGATCCGCAAGCTTGCCTTCAGGTGAGTGCCTTGTCAGCTGTCTCTGCCGGGGCGATTGGCATCCGCCGGCTGACCCGCGTTATCTGTCGGATGCCAGCCGCTTCCCGCATGCGGACCCCGAACCCGGGCCCCACAGTGGCTGTCCAGGGCTTCCCGGGGTCGACCCGAAGCCCCGCCGGGGGCACGCCTCGATCGGACCCCACGGTGCTCTCTCTCCGCTTGACGCGCTTCCTCCCGACACAAAGCCGTAGACGTGTTTGCTGGACTGCCAGGCGGCACGGATGCCGAGAGGGAAATAACGGGAAAGGGAGGTCTTTGTTTGGTTCCTGTGCGAGACCCACCGCACTGTTCTGGCGTGTGCTGGAATGTCGCGGGTCGCCTGGCGCAATCAGCGATGAGTCCTCGTTCTATGTTGTGCCTCTGGCAACGGCGATTGCCTGGACCTCTCTGCGTGACCCTCGCCCCGCCCCCTCTGGACTCCGTTGACATGAATCAGCCTGATGTGGTTTCAGATCCGTTTCGAGTGTCGCATATGCTGGGCAGTGTTCTTAATACTTTGTGTAATCTGGGGTCGATATTTGCTCTGAGTGGTTCGGCCATTCCGAGGGTGCCATTGTGGTGCTTGCGTGATCCCGGTTTTTGGGTACCGTGCAGATGCTTTGTCACTCACTAAAAATCTCTCTCGTGTACTGGTCCTGCCACTTGAGCAGTTTACGTTATCGCAGTGGTAGCGGGCACACCACGCGGGCTGCATTTCAGTTTCTGGGCGCGCTGTACAGAGCTTCGCAGTACTGGCTATAGCATGACGCACGTACCGAGTGGCTGGTGCAACGTAATCGTGTTCCGTAATGGCATCTGACGCGATGCAGGCCGTCCCCTACAGCTGGCCATAATGGAGCCACGCTATTGAATTTATCGTCGGAAAGCTTGGCAACGACGTTAATACGTAAGATCCTAAAAAATTCCATGCCTTACGCCACGGGGAGGCACTGACCTGTGGCGAGCAATCTCGCAGCCAATGGGCAAGATTAAAATATTGTGCTTGTGTGTCGGCATAAAAAGGGGGGGGGGGCTGTAAGGCAGGCACAAATTTCGCGACTCAGTTTTCCTTGAGGTGGTCTTGACTCCGCGGGGAGGGGGGACTTGCACGAAGAAGTGAAAAAAAAAAGAGAGTTAAAAAAAAGAACCGAACCGCCAGACCTGATTCATCGGCGCATCTGATGTCCAAACATGAGCAGAATCGGTGTGATATAAGTGCATGGACTTGTTTTTGACTCGGGCGTCACCTGCTGTGTGCCTCAATTAGTGTTACTTCTCTCCTCTCTCTGAGGCCCGCCGCGGTGGTCTAGTGGCTAAGGTACTCGGCTGCTGACCCGCAGGTCGCGGGTTCGAATCCCGGCTGTGGCGGCTGCATTTCTGATGGAGGCGGAAATGTTGTAGGCCCGTGTGCCCAGATTTGGGTGCATGTTATACAACCCCAGGTGGTCGAAACTTCCGGAGCCCTCCACTACGGCGTCTTTCATAATTATATCGTGGTTCTGGGACGTTAAACCCCACATATCAAGCAAATCAATAACCATCGCCTCTCTCTGATCGCGCAGGTTATGTTTCGGTTAAAACGTTAGCGTTATATAATGATTCTGTTCTGCCTTTGCATACATCGTTGTTTTAAGCAATTCCTCGTTAGAAATAATTCCATTTTTTTGTTTGTTCGTTTGGTGAGTCTAACTCGTGATGTTGTCTTCGCGCACGACTGATGTCTGGGTGCGACGCGGAAGTTTGGAGGAGGCGGAAGCCGCTGCGGGCAGGAAGGAAGTATAACGCCAGACGAAACGAACTTTCCCGCGAAGACGGTTGTTACTGACGCATGTGCGCTTAATTGCCGAGTGGCGTTGATTTTGATGAGCTCAAGAAAGAGCAGCATTGTTCCGCATTCGCGTGCCTTACATATAGAAGGGAGCGGAATAGCAGCCGTGGAGGGGTAGCGCGCCAGCTTGTGATGTGGTGCGAAGATTAACACATAAGGATTAACCCATCTAACGCATATTATGGACGACAATTGATTGTCATCATAATTTATTTTTACATACTGCCTGTAACTATTGCAGGAGGGCAAACAAGATACACAAGAAATACATATACAACTAAACACGCAATAGATACACTTGCACATACATGCGAAAATGTGCGACTACAGACATTGTATGATGATACATGAAGAGTTTAAAAGCACAACCTATGTCTGGCAGATCTACACGAAAATATTATACTACATAATCCACTGATAACACTGACATATCCAAAAAGCAACCAAGAACTGTACAAGGAAGAAAAGAAGCATAGAAAAAAACAATTTCAGCTATGAGTGTCACGAATGTGGTTTTTAAGTAAAGTTTAAAAAGTATTCAAATCTTTACTATTAGTCAGACGAGTGGGCAATCTATTCCATTCTCTAATTGACTGTGGGAAGAAGGAATACTTGAAGCAGTTTGGGCTGAAACGGTATTCTTGTAATATATATATATATATATATATATATATATAACTTCCCCTATGCTTTCCTTGGTGTTATTGTCTGAAAGATCCCATTAATATTGTGTCAGAACATGGAAAAACGAGCCCTTTATTAAGTATACACTGTTTCTCATATATATATATATATATATATATATATATATATATATATATATATATATATATATATATATATATATATATATATATATATATATAAGGGAAAGAAGTGTATACCTAAGGGCTCGTTTTTTCGTGTTTTGACACAATAATAATGAGATCTAACAGACAGTAATGCCAAGGAATGTATAGGGGAAGTTATTAGAACCAATGGAATGTAAATAAGAAGAAAGAAAAGTGGGTAAAGTAGGTTCATTTCCTGCTCACGGCTGGTTATTTCTTCACGCACTTTTATTTCTTCTTATTTAAATTCCTTTGGTTCTAATAACTTCCCCTATTCATTCCTTGGCATTACTGTCTGTTAGATCTCATTAATATTGTGTTAAAAAACACGGAAAAACGAGCCCTTAGGTGTACACTTCTTTCCCTTTATATATATATATATATATATATATATATATATATATATATATATATATATATATATATATATATATATATATATATATATATATATATATATATATATATATATATATATGCTGTAGTGTTTTGTGTCTGAAGCTGGTTATGCGGCGGGCGATGCGGACTTTCATATGCCACGAATGGTTGTTTTACAAATCGACGTCACTGCTTTAACCAAATTGCCGACAACAGTCGAATGAAAATAGACAGACACGGACGTCATCAATAAAATTAAAAATGGCATTACGCGCAAGGAAAATAGGGAACACTGGTAAATGCAAGCGTGCTAACGGTTGTTGAATGATGAATGTTATTCCTTCATGAAGTACGGTATAGGGGCACTGTCATTTATGTCACGCTTTTCTATCGTTTGTTCACACTGCGCAGATGGCGCTGTAATCACTTCGAGATTTTCGGTTGGTTGATTTGTAGTAGGTTACAGGCACTATAGGTTATTTGATGAAGTGACGACATTCCCGTGAAACGTTCTCCTGCATGGTGTGCCTTTCTGACTAGCACGTGTAGTTTTCCCAAGGTTCGCATTGCGTCATAATGCGGCGTTCGATTTACCATTTCTCCGGGAAGCTTCTCACGGCTTTTGTGATTACCGTCGCGGAGCTTGTGTTAAATGTCGCCGGGTTGTACGCCGTCCCTGCTGAAGTCTCTTCCTCTTGAGCCCGCGTCACCGTCAACATGGCTCTACACGTTTAAATGCACACGCGCGTAGAGTTTCCCGAAATTAACTAGAGGTCACTCTGGCGCTGCGATCGTTCAGCGACCATGAGAATGATGGGTATACAGTACACACGTTTGCCTAGTCTTCGTACTTGCGGGCGGCGAATCGTACTTGCGGCTTCGTTTATTGCTGTGTTTCGGTGTTGTTTTGAGAGAGAAGATTCAACCCTTTTGAACTTCATGACCCGATTTCGAAAGGTAACTCTAAAAAAATAAGATGCTGAAGCGCGACCGCTGAACATTTGCTAATATTTGTTTCGTAAAAAAAAAAACAACTTCAAGCCACACGAACACACACGGAACCAGAAGGAGGCCACAAGTACTAATATTAGACAAATGTGTGTACTACCCATCATTCCCATGCTCGCTGAAGCGTCGTGAGTTGCAGCTCCCATAGACACTAGCGCCAGAGTTCCCTCTAGTAAGTATTGTAGAAAACTCTATGCAGACGCGTGTTTGAGCTGTGCCGATGATGTGCATTTCGTATTCCCGATTAGTACAAGGCTTCAATGCGTGTAAAATGCAGAGGGTTGGTTGTGACAAGCAAGTTGTTGGTGCACGCTCCGTGGTGACGTCACTCGAGCTCCGCGTGTCAGGTGTCCACAGCGCCGTCCAGCAACAGGTCGCTGACAAGACAATACTGACCGTTCACAGTGGCGACCGTCCATTCCTCGGCCACTCGAATCTATAGTTCTGCCTCGAGATAGCTCCACCGTCTTCGCCTGGAGCGGAGCAGAGAGGGAACTGCGGTGAGGGATCTATTCCAAACAGGTGAAACACTTATATATTTTTGCAATTCGGGCGCTTTTCCGCAGACGAAAAAAAAAAAAAAAGATGCGACAAGATGCATAAGTAAGGACAATAGTCGGGAGGCATTATCTAATCAGCGCCGCAGCTTTAATTCGTACAGGAGTGACCGATATGATGCGTTAGGCAGAATGATAGCCGGCATATGCGCTATCTAATCAAAAACAGTAACAGTTATTACGTGCTCACCGAAAACGCACGCCGCCTATATCGTTGGTGAGTGATATGGTGAGCCCACTCCACTCTTCGTACCGAATACAGCTTCGTAAGGCGAATTCTCTGTTCTGTTATCGTACAGATATCACCACCTACCACGTCAACAGTCTCTCGCTTGCGAGCGAAACGCGGTCTTCACATCAAATTGTCGATGGGAAGGGATC